GACTCTGATGTGTCCTGGCTGGATTGGCAGGGGTGCCAGAAGCAGCAGCGTGAACCTATTGTCATTTTATCTACCCTAAATGCTCTTTTCTTTTAAAGTAAAGCTATCTTCCTATGCATTTTGCTCCATCCTTTATAGACTCTACCTTCAGGCCTTCGTCATTGCAAGACTGTTTTGTTGGTCTGTAAGGTAGGGGGGAACAATTCACTCGCATTTTGTCATGACAGATTTATAGCACGGGAAGACCACTTGAAAGTATGTTTTAAACTTCTTTCAAATAGATTTTTTTGTATGTTTGATCTGGAGGAGGCAGCACGTACCTTCCTGGGGTCCCAGAGAATGGAACCGAAAGCAGGACAGACTTCTCTATCTGAACTTTGAAGCTGAACAAAACCAAACTTTAATCATTGTTGAAGACCTGTTCCAAACATGTTTTGATGTCTACTGTCTGATATTTAAGCATGCTATAATAGGTAGAGAAGAATACATAGGTTTCACAAGGCTTGGAACAAGGTGCACATCCTTAAATGAAAATTTAATATAGGTACTCATTGATACTTTTTTTTACTCAACTTCGTTGAAACTGCAAAGTTGCCTTCTGTTGCTGGCAGTGTATGCCTTACAGTCTGTCCTGCAATGAAAAGGCATAATATGGATATGCTAATGTCTTTTGGGATGCTAGACTGCACAGAGGGAAATGAGCAAAGTCAAGTCTGTGTTCCCTAACTAAGAAACGAAAGTTCCGTATTACTTGTATCTACAGTCAGTGACACTATTAATTGCAATTGCCTATATATGCCTTGTTCTTTAACTGTTCTATTGTCATTTATAATTAGATGTTACACTTTTAAAGCAAAGACCATATCTGACAGGTTAATATCACATGCCTGTCACATTCAATTTAAATAAAATGTGATATTATGTATGCTGTAGTGTAGAAGACTAAGATATGTGAAATTTGTGATATTACATAGCCAAAAACTATACAAACAAAGGTCAATATTTTACTCTGCAGTCTAAATTTCATTTTCTTATCGGATTTGACTTTGCTATAGAATTATTTTGCAAGAGAGCACATTTCATCTATTAAATAAAATGAAACTAGGAGCTAAAGAGTTAAAAAATGCCAGTCAACTTCATATTTGGACTTCCCAAGCATATCTTTTATGGCTGCATTCTTCCTCATATTTCACAGCACATTTCTGTGAAAAGCAAATGAGTCACTCACATAAAAATACTTAACACAGATGAATGGGTGTAGATTTATATGTACAGAAATTTACAAACACACGCACAATATGCATAGGTATATGAAATACAGTCTTAGAATACGTATATGTGTACAGCTATACTGAATACTTGGTGGTGTGTTGTAGAACTCTTGGGTAAATTTTTATGGATTTGATTTATTGGTTGACTGAGTTTATTCATTATTTGTATATGATATTTTGCTGCTGGGTGGCTGTAATTCACAATTCTGGGCCTAGTTAACTCTGTGGGTGCTTCGAGTTTTCTGTATGAACGTCTCCCAAGTATTGTTTAAAGAAATAATGAAATGTACTTGCTTGAATGAGCAATTTACTCACGAGGAGCAAAATATGGTCAGGCAGACAGGTCACTGAAAATAGCTTTCAGTAAGCCTTTGTAAGTCACCATGTGACTACCATATATTCTCTTAATACACATACAACAGTCTGTACGTGTTACAGGCAACTGAAGATCATTTGTGAACCACTGGTCACAATCTTTTTCTCACATCAGTATTTAATTCTATTCTTGCATTCTCTACTTGTGTAGCCCTGATAAATTTACTGGTAGGCACAGAACAGAACAAAATCCTGAAGAAGCGTGAAAAGTCAAGAAGTGCCTTGGCATCATTTCTCTATAAATGAAACACGATGCTTGTTTCCATCCTTTCAAAACTGATCTTAAAGCTTTGGCAGTTAGCGCGGCAATTCTTTTCCCATGGTATGCAGTGTCTACCAGAGTAGTGTAATAAAACTGTTTGCTATATCTTGATTACTACAAGGAAAGTACTTCTCCTTGTATTCAATGCAGTAACAACTCTTCTGGAGGTTTGGGATGAAATGTTGCACTGCCTGTCACTTTTTCAATCTGTCTCATAATTTGGTATTATAAAATCCAGCTGTTGTATTTTGGGATAGGGGCACAAACGTGAGAAGAGACAAAGCACCCAAAACGCCTTGATTAGCTGTAAAGTATCCACAGACTATGAATAGTTCTAATTTGCAGATACTGCCACCAAGGGTGATCTGACTCTTCACCACTCTAAATACTTCATGTAAACTTAGAGTACTGGACTTCCTGGAGATGAACTTTGTAAGACAAAGAACTATAGCAGTGATTCTTCAGGTGTTCCTACAAAAATTCACATGCATGTATTTCGTTATGTACTTTGTTACTTAGAGCCATTGGTCAACAGTCCCTAGGTATTTCTAGGTCTTCCTATTGAGAGAAAAAGTGGCAGACATTGCACACAGGGAACATAGATTTGTCATAGCTGCAGATTTGATTTGCAATGTCTTTTTAATAAATAGAAGTGCTTGATCAATCTTACTGAGGTGTTGGGTACCTGATTGTTAAAATTCAATGGAAGACTCATGGACACCCAACAGAGGAAGTACACTTTATTCTAGCCTTCTGTGAATGCTCTACTTAACAGACATATGTAATTCCACATGCGCTTGTGGTAAATTTTATTGTAACTGTGTAATTCATCACAACTTCGTGTGGCATAGCCGTCATTGGAGCAAAATTTCTAAACCCATCTTCTGTTTTAAGGAAAACAAACAAGCAAACAAGAAAGATCAACAAAGGAAAACCCGTAGGAAAAATAAATTAAATGCATTTCAGAATTCCATCCTGAAAGCACAGCTTCCCTCAGGAGGCATGTCACGTCTTTGGAAGTCTGCCTCAATGTCCATGAGGGAATGTTTCCTCTGCCTCTCCTTCCTTATGAAAATCTCAAATAATTTGGAAGAAAAGCAGATTTCAATGATTTTTGTTTTTCACTTGTTCATATGTTTCTGCTTTAATGCTCCTCTCCATCTGTGCTTTGAAGAGAGTCTTGTTGTTGTTCCTAGAAGAAATTCCTAGGATAGTTCTTGCTGGAGGTTATAATTTGTGGAAAATACACAGTTGTGTCATATTGTAATAGGGAATGGGATTTTCTTAAGTGCTAAAATCACAGAAGAGCACAAATTCTACTGGATGTCAGTAGGTCTTAAGCTCTGAAGACATGTATGAAAATCACTGCTTTTGGTTTGAAGTAATCAACTGAGTTGGAAATTCTTGTGATATGTAAATACATTTCTTAGTTAAATCCAGTGCATTCAACATTGATATGCATGAAAAATATATTTTTTTCTATATGTACCTGAATATACAAATAGCCTCAAATTCATGCAGAAGTCTTTCTAAAATTGTTTTAGATTCATTGGAAATAAATATATTTCAGTGATTTAGGGAGATAAAAAACAGTAATAAATATAGGTAGACTTCTAGTTATATTTTACATTCTCTTCTCATGCTTACCAGTTCAGGCGGTCAACATTCTAAAAATACACACAGGTTCTTGAAAAATGCATATTTGCTGGTCACCTTTATTTTTTCGTACTTCAAGCCTCAAATCCCCATTGAAATTTCAGCATTACTAGATTTCTGGATGATAAAGGACATTATCTTTTCTGTTCCCAAACAACAAGCGCTGAAGGCAGCAGAATGAAATTTGTATGCAACACTATCTACGTTGCACATGCATTTATCTCAATTCATTTATCTCAATAAGTGACTGTCATCTCTGTGTGCGGACATCTTACAATGATAATAAGACCCCAGCGCTGCTCAAGATGTCACATTTTCAGGGATAGATTTCTAGCTGCAGGCAACTTGAGCAAAATACCTCATATTGAGAACATTCTCCTCCTTGTCACTGACCACATTAAACCCTTTCATGTAGCTTCATATGTGGCTTTTATTTATTGTGTACCTCCACCCATGCCTTGAACTGCAGTGGTTTTTGTATGTAATTGAACTTATAAGCATATGTTCACTTAAAAATGCAATTATGTAATTAAATAGTGGTTGTGTATATTAAAGTAAGCGTGGTGTATATTCAATTGCTTACACAAGTTTTGCTGCATTTTGGTCAACTCTGAAACTTGTTCAACCATTTTGTCAGTCACATGGGACAATACTTTTAAAGGGAGATCAGATGTTTTCATATACATGTAATCCACATTTTTATATAAAATAATAAGATTTGGAATCACAAAGGGGAAGTATGTTTTCCAGTTTTGGGTTATTGGAATACCATTGTCTTACAGAAGCTGAACTCGGAATTAGGAGCAGAATGTTACTCGTTTCCCAGTAAGAATTTAATTGCTTCTGCCCCGCTGCTTATCATCCTTTAAGATTACTTACTTAAAGGTGAAGAACTACAGAATAAAAAATTTCCTTCACTTCCTTAAGAAATGACAACCAAAACAAGAACAAAATTCATGAATAATAAGAAGCTTTACTAATGATGGGTTAACATATGTATATTTCCTGTCAATAAAAAAATAGTTGTGGCACTTGATGTGAAAATGGGATTTATGTCTAGTGCTAATTTTTTCTCTCCACTTTATTTTATCAAACTGCAGTAGTAGATAGGAAGGAATTGTAGTTCTTCTGGCCAACAGGCATTAAATAGGCTGTTGAACAGCCAGTGTTACATTACATAGGATGAAGAAAAGAGTAATAAGGGTCAAATTCTTAGAGATTTTAAAATACTAATGTAAAACTAAGAGGAGGGCTTTTTATTGAAATGGAAATTAGGTTCCTAGTAATTTTTTTTTTCCTTTTTTTGTATGATTTGAAAAATTGCTGATAGCTTGTTTTGTTTCATTATCTGTAACAAAACATTTTTCAATTTAATAAATATTATTAAATTGCTCGTTCATGTTAAAGTATTTTTTATTATCCTTGATTTGTCCCAGATCAGAGGAGGAAAGCTTATGATCACATACACAAGAAAGAATGATGCTGGCAAATATGTTTGTGTTGGAACAAATATGGTTGGAGAACGTGAAAGTGAAGTTGCAGAGCTCACCGTTTTAGGTAAGAACTCTTCCAGACTCTATTAATCAATTTTTTTTTCCCTGTTCAGCCTTCTATTAAGGATCATTCTCAGCTATTTCCATTTCAGTGTTTATGTGTTTGGCTTTGCAATCTACCCTGGAATGTTTTTGCAATCAGAAGATACTTTGTTACTTAGTTCTCCAACTGAAACTAATTAAGGTGTCCACTGACTGGATCATTATTGTAAAATACTAACAAAAGAAAATGAACATCACTAAGAAGTAGAGGCATAACTTTTCCCTCTTGTTGAAGAAAATCAAGACTTATTCTCAATAATTATCCTCTTATTTGTAGTTGTGTGTGCTGAGTGTTGTAAAGATAAAACTGATCTGCTTGTTCAAGTGATCCTAATGATAGTTTCTCTGAGCATCAAAAAATGTGTTTACATTTAAGATAACTGAGCTTGGCCGAAAATTGGATTTTTGTTGCTATTGCAGAAAAGAAGCTGTAACTCCAAGTGCAATCTCAGAATCTCAGAATTTCTTCAGAGAATCGACTCATGATCACTGTAGATGCATCTTTGTTATTTTCATTCAAAGTGTGTCCCATTTTGCTATAAAGTTGGGGAGGCTTGAGATAGCTGAATTGTTTCTGTAGAAGGAATATATATTTTATCATCACAGGATGATAATATCCAAGCCACGGTTCATAGCACACTGTTTTCCATCACAATGTTGCTGCAGTAGTCCTGGCTCTTACTTGTTACTTTGGGGTTTTTTCCTTAAAATTCAGGTTTAAGATCAGTCTTGTCAGTCTTTGGCACTTTGATCTGTCTGCACTACTTCATACGGTTAACTTGAAGTCCTATTCAGAATTTTATTTGAAGCAGTGTTTCCCATAATAAAATGAGAATATATTGCATCTTTAAGTATTTGAAATTGAATACCTAGCAAGATAGTGCATAACTTTTTAACAGCTAAGGAAGATTTCCTGTGATCCACTGTACTGCACTGCTGTGGGGGTTTTTTAAATTTCTAGACAGTTTGCTTTTTGAAAGCAACTTCAAAGCAAAATCTAGATTTGAAAGTCAAGTTAGATGAATAAAGTCCTGGCACTGGTCTCCTAGTTAATTGTAGCTGTTAATTGCTCATCACTAGTTTAATACAAACCGGAGAATCTTGGTATGGCCTGTTATGTAATCCAGGCTGGAAGATAGCACTCTTGCCAAACACTTTTAAGAGTGGTGCACTGCAGGGAGAGATCTGTCTTGACTTTTTCTTCATCCCAGTTTCCCTTACAATGTATTTCTGATATTCAGCCTACGAAAACCAGTGAGGTTTTCTTTTTAAACAAGACAGTAAAGCTTTGAATGTCTTATCAGTCTGCGTCTAGAAATCTTTAGTACACCTCATTCTTTCAATTCAGGCCTTAGATATGCATGAAAAAGCATGAGGAACATACTGACTTCATATATTAAAGTCTTTCAGCATTGATCTTCTGTTTATGGGTTTTTGGTTATTTAGAAGTTGAACTTCTGCTTTTAGGTTTCTGCTTTAGATCAGAGGGATTATTGCATGCCAGAAACTGTAATATTAGAAATTTTCAAAGTGATCCTTGCTAAGCTTTCATTGTATTTACCAAATAATCTTGTGACAAAGATAGACACTTAAATCAGTGCTGATTTCCCTTATCTGTTTATGCAGACAAAAACTCTCAGACTATTACTCTTCCTTTAGAAAACTGATTTAGAGAATAGTGAGCCCCTTGTGGGTTTTGCTGTCATGCAGCAGTCCTGGACTTACCAGATCAGTCCTTTTTTCTTGTGCATAATTAAGTTGAATGTTCTTCACCAATCTGTCCTTATCTGAAGTTTAATCCAGAATCTTCTTTTCTTGCACTGAGATTGTGGTTTTACTGCATCCATCAGAAAGGTACTAGGGCGAGGATGTCTAGATTTTTATTTTTTTTATTCAAGCTAGATTCTTGTCTGTAGATCTCTGTTTTATTTCTGACTTCTTGTATATAAACCCAGGCTAGAACTGACAGATTTAAGATCAGCTTGCTTCTTCATCTAATGTCATTTGCCTAGCATTGGAAGCAAAGGTAAGTTTTCTACAACACAAGTGTCCAGTTGATCTGGATGTCCTCAAGAACAAAGGAAGTTCTTCTACAGGGTTTTGTTCAGTCCACATTTCCACTTCAGTAATTTTTGAACCGTTCACTAAGATTTTATAGTACTGTATCCCTGTGTCTTTATCTGCAAAGTCAAAGTAATGTCCAGAACCACCATTGTCAAACACAAATGTGAGATACTTAAGACTATGGGATTGTCTGTTTATCCTTCTGTCCAGTGCTTTTGCACTCTCGTGATAAATTTGTGATGTGTTTTTGAGTGTTCACGCTTCCTGGTTGTGCCAATAGCTTCAGCCTCTTCCAGTTCCAGGGAGATGATATATTGGTATCTCTAATATGTGCGAGTCAGAACATGCAACTGCCTTCTCAGCTCCCTCAGAGCTTTCACAGGTTTATAGGCAAAAAGGTCATCAGCCTTAGGCAAAGGTACCTGCCAAGCACTCTGCTGTTAAACCCTCTCTGTTCTTTTACGGACATTCTGTTGTCATCTAGTACTACCTTTGTAGATGGGTAACCCTTCCTGGAGTATCCCAGAAATTGTTAAAAACACTTTTCTTGTGCACGTGCATACCTCACGGCACTTCAGCCTGGTGTGGAGCTGTGAAACTATGAATAGCCCAGCATAGAGCTATGAACTCTGCTCCAGGTAGAAAAGTGTGTTGAACCCTTTCCTGAATTTTGTAGCTAATAGCTGGGTTGCCAGAATTGCACAGTCTTTTGTGCCTTCTGTCATTTTGAAGCAGTGCAACAGATGAGCAGCCATTTGCCTGGGTCTTTGCATCAGGCCTCCGTCTATCTGAGGATCAATGTGCATTTAGATTCTCCGTGTGGGTTGTGTTTTCCTTTAGCTGTATTAGCTCTCATGATACATAAGAAGTAGGGAAGCCTGTGCTTGGATCCTGAGCCGCTGTTGAGAGTTTCTGCCTGCTGTGCTGAAGCTGGCCGTGCTGCCCACCTGTGGGGCCGCAGGTCTTCCACCTGGGGCTGGGAGCAAGAGCAATGGCTGCGGAGGCACCTCCGTCAGATTCGTCACCCTCCTTCCCTTGCTCCACCAGCCACAGCTCAGGGAAAACCGCAATTCGGGCACAGAACTGCTGGACTAATCCCGTTTTTCCTTCCCTTTCCATTTAGAGAGACCATCTTTCGTGAAGAGACCAAGTAATTTGGCTGTAACTGTGGATGACAGTGCGGAGTTTAAGTGTGAGGCAAGAGGTGATCCAGTCCCTACAGTGAGATGGAGGAAAGATGATGGGGAATTGCCAAAAGCAAGGTGCAGTACATGGAGTTACGTTTTTTATGATATATGGCTTGGTTTATGATGTAGCCATTCAACATGTGACAAGATGGCATTTCTTTTTCTCAAATGGAGAAGATCTGACTTGATCTAAAGAGTCATTTCTAAATACCATTGAGTGCTCTTTGAAGTTACAGTTTATACTATAACTTAAGAACAGCTTGTTTTCAAGCTTTTGTTGTGAAAAAACATTAAAAAATACCACAAAAAATAACTTAGTTCAGCCAGTAATATCTGATACACATTATTTCTTCACCTGAAGAGTCTTTTGTAGTTACTGAAAGTTTTGGAGAATGTATAACAAATAGTAGATTAGATTACAACATCCGGAAGTATGTATTGAAATTCTAGTTGATAGAAAATGTAGTCTGATAATGTAGAGAGCTGCCTTGATTGTACATGGTTTTGTTCCTAAGTTTTCAATTGTCTTTTTTTTTCTTTTTTTATTAAGGAATACTTTCTGTGATCAATGGATAAATGATTTACTATTTACTTTGAATTCCCAGTTATCAGTTAGAAACCTTTTAGGGATGGGAATTGAGATAAGAAACCCTGTAGCAAGTCGGCTCCATCCATCCAAATCCAGTTTCCTGTTAATGTAGTTTATAGTTTTAATAAGAACTGTAGCATTTTTAAGAGAAAAAGTCTACTTCTCATAAAGAGAAAGCACATTGACTGCATTATACAATGAAGAGAAAAAGGTGGTGAAAGGACAGGAAATGGTAAAAGGCCACATTTTTCTGAAAAAAAAATGAATTAATTGTGATTTATCTTGACTTTCAAGCAACTCTGATCTTCTTGAAAACAATATTTTCTTCTCAACCATATTAAAAAAATCCTTCATTCAAATGCAAAAATTATAGAGAGAATAATAACTTTTTATATGTACTTATTAAAAGAGTTCTAACAATTAAAATGTTCTGTGTTAGAGCTTCATGATTGTATTACGCCAGTGAAATTCTACTGACATCAGTAAAACTGACTCACATTACAAACAAAATCAGAATAAGGTTTTCAAATATTTAGATATATTTTGCTTTTAAAACTTTATTTTTACGTTACCAATTTATAAGGATTTATACATTTTTTATTTCTAAGAGCAATACAGGAATAAAATTATTTGAGAGAAACTCACAATGTTTTTATGCTTTACAGAAATTGTACAAAGTTCAATTCTTCCTATTCATTGTTTATTACTATGTATAATTAAAGGTACGAAATCCGTGATGATCATACCTTGAAAATCCGGAAGGTTATGGCAGGAGACATGGGCTCATATACTTGTGTTGCAGAAAATATGGTTGGAAAAGCTGAAGCATCAGCAACTCTGACAGTTCAAGGTAAGAATGTTTCTTTGCGTGGTACTCCAGTCCTGAATAAAGTTGATTTTTTTTACATGGCAATTTTATAGAGTTGCTATACGCAGACTAATTGAGTTTATACACAACTATTAGCATTGCGACATGCTGGTGCTCTGTGCTGTGTTGTAAAAAAACACTGTGAAAGTATAAATGGGTTTTGACTTATATTCTTAAGAAATTGAAACATTTCACTTGTAAGATTTTTTATACGCAGTCTTTATGGTGCTGGGTTGAGGGACTGAATAGGTTTTGATCTTCAGCATGATCAGAATCGTATCACTTACAGTCTTTATATGTGAAATCCTAACATAAAGAAAAAAAACAGTGTTACCAAACTACATTGTTTTAACTCAGAAAGAAAGAGTTAGAAGTTCAAGTATCTGTCAATTTTTTTCAATTAAGTGTCGTAAAGAAGTAATGAATGATAAATCTGTTTGTGTATCTTTTAATACACCACCGCAGACCACTGGAATTCCTGTTTCTTTTTCATTATAAAAGCATATTGTGGCACTACTGTTTCTTTGTAAGATAAAAATTCAGTGGAACTCAGTGAACTAATATGTATAAAAATCGTTCATTGCCTTTATATACACAATCCAGATGTTCACTGTTCAGATAATCCCTCTCTTCCTTTCCTGGCTAGGAGACAGGCAATGATGTCATCCTAATGCTTTTTTCTAAACACTGATGGTCCTTCTGTCCTTTTCTCTGTTCAGTAAGAATTAGTCATTATGGAGTTCTGGGGAAGTATAGGCTTAAAAGTATTTTATTTGGTGACAGGACTCTATTTTGACACATTTACTGTAACAGGAAAGGTCTTGTCCTTAGCCTGTTCTCCTTTTTCCACCAGAAACATTTGGTGTCCCTAACGTGTAGCTGTTAGGAAAATAGGAATTCTTTTGTTGAAACCCTCATAAAACCAAGAATTTTGAAGCAGTCTGTTTTGTTAGTCACCATCAAGTTTATACATCAAAACTGATACCTTATTTTTTCAAAATAACCAGTCCTTGTGCTCGGTGTTCTAGAATAAAAGATGAATGCATGAGCAGTAAGCACAGTTGACTCAAAAGAGAAAGACTGAAATATATTTTAAATGGCTCTGAGTTCCGAAGATCACATATCAACTTGTAGAATACTAGTATTAAGAAAATCTGCTTTGTGAATGGTTAAGCAGTTACATTTCTGGTACTTTTAAGGAGCATAATGATAATGTAAGTCTTGATTCAGCAAGATTCTTTTCATTTTCTTAGTACTTGTATTGCACAGTAGCTATTTACCCTGGAACAGGTTTGCTCTGTGGATGTTGTAATGGGATAATTTGTTTCCCAGTGTGAATGGATTACCTTCTGAGCCATTTGTCTCTGCTAATGCTTTCATAGAAGGGATTGATGTGAGAAACTGCACTATGTAAGGCCAATTTGTAGCTGGTAATGTAGTAAATTATGATCAAAATCCATATATTAGAGTATCTGGTAGGCCTAGTTATATGGGAAGAAAAAAAAAAAAGACATCTCTAGAAAATATGCATATTCCGCTCATACTTTTTCCTTCTTCTCTTCCCTCTTCTTCTCTCCTCTCTTTTTCCCTTGTTTAAAACACTTTTTTTTTCTAAAAAGTCAGCTTTTTTTGCTAAGCTGCATCTATAGAGGTAGATTTGATTTTGTTGCTTTAGTGCTAAAATGATATTGATCTCACTGTTTGTGGATGCACAGTTCTTTCAGGAGAATTGCTAGTTTTTTAATATTTAGTATTTTTTCCAAGTGATTTAAAGAATGGAAATGACAAATCTTTTCTCCACATGATCTGTTGGCTGCAGGGTTGAATAGATGTGTCTTCCACTATGCCAAATAGAGTTATTTTAGTTACATATTTGTAAACAGAGGGCTATGTTGCAAATCACGGCCTCAGTTAAATAGAGCAAAGGACAAAAAGGTTTTTGCGTGATTTGGGGCTTGTCTGGCTTTTGAGGTTTTCTCTGGGGCTTTGTTTTGTGTTGCTTCCCCCTCAGTATCTCAGCCACAGGCTGTGCTGTTTTCATGCCAAAGGAAAAAGGTGGGAGTTGTTAATGATAACCCCAGAAGGTGCGTGTCTGTGTTAGGAAAGGGGCAGTCATGGCCTGTCAAGGGTCTGCACGGTGGAGCTGCTGCTCTGAATGAACCGCGGCAGAAGAGCTGCAAGCAGTGCTCCTCGGGACACTGCTCGGGCCTTGGGGTGAAGAGGACATATCCTCTCCTTTGCTCGTCATTTCTCACGCCTCAAGTGTTGGGATTGGCCCGTGCGTGTTCTGCACTCACACAGGGTTATCTAGGGAAGTAGAAGGTGGAGCATGCAATACCGGGGCTCATTGAGATACTCGGGTGTCAGGGATGTGTTGATGAAAGGCAGCGGTAGCTAAGCCTGCGTCTCGGCAGAGAGCTGCCCTGAACCAGGCAGTGTTAGTGCCTCCAGGTCTGCTCTGACCCTCCTTGATCAGACGCTGGAGTGCATCGTGTGTGCCCCGCAGGGCTCCCGGGCTCAGGGAAACTGAGCCCTGCCTCGGAGCTGGGCAAATGGGCCCGGGCTGCATCCACGGGCTAGGAACTGCCAGCTCGGATAGTTCAGCTCCATAGAGTAGGATGCTAAGTGTAGAAAATACACAAGAGGAGAGGGAGTATCAGTTCTGTGTTACTGTTCTTCTGGCTCATGGCACCAGCATCACAAGTTCTGATCATTGGAATCAGTATTTTCCTTAATACAGATTCCTAACTTTGGGAATTGTGTTTCCTACATGAAGTACAGATGCTGTTTCAGTCATACTCTTAAACCAGATTTGGAGTTCTGTATTGACAGAGAAGTTTGAACCCTTCACTTAGTCTTTTACTGCTGCATCTTAAAAGCATTTCCATCCTTGAAATTGTCAAGTTATCTTATTTTCTCCTTGGAATATTAAATAGTTAGGAAAATGTAATCCTGCTGTTGTTTGCATTTTCCTAAAATTAGAATGTCTCAGTCCACTGTTTTCATTTTTGCAGCAATGTGTAGTGCATATGTAAGGCATCCAGAGATGTTACTAAATACATGTGGAAGCATTTTATTCAGGAGATGATTAATTATTAAGTAAATACCTCAATCAATACAAACTGCCAGGAAGCAGACCAGAGTACAATACATTGTGTTTTAACAAGTATCTGATGTGCTCCAAAAAACGGAAACCAGAGCCAAAAGTGCATCTCTGGGAACCAGTGGATTTCTCTCTCATTATAACACTAAGCAAGTAGGAGATATTTATTGTGTATGCATTTAATATATATGCAAGATGCCTTTCGTGTTTTCACAGAGATTTCTGTTCTGTGGTTTGCTTAGCTTTATGCCTTGAAGCCGGATTGATGAAACATGTAGCTTTATATATCTCATCACTATATATACACAACTGAAGCCCGCATTAATAAGACACATGAATTACCAAAAATGCATGACTTGGAACTTCAGTTCTAAAAAAGAATTAATTTTATCATTGTGCAAATAGAGGTAGGGCTTCTTCAAGAACATGCAAATTTTACATCTAATCATAAAAATGTTTTTAAGTAAATCTGACAGCTACAGGGTTTAGGTATTTTCTCCTTCCATTTGCTTTGCTCCCATTTGCATTACCTAATTAGGCTTTTTTAATACCTAACTTTATAATAAGTTTATAATTTATGCTGAAATGAGCTTTACTGTCTGATATAGGCACAAATTATGGCTCCAGTGGAAGCCCTATGATGCAGTTGGCTAAGAACCATCATAGCAATGACAGTGTAGTTGCTACTCAGCAGGAGTTAAAAGACAAACGGGTCAAGCAGGTCAGCAGCTCAAGAACTTCACAAGAGTAATACCAACACTGCAGCTGTTGGTGGTAACTGTCGGTCAGTCGCCAGCAGTTTCTTGTTGAACAACAATCCTCAGACTTTGAGTTCTTCTTAGCTCTTTTTCCTCGAGCAGTGGCCATGGAGAAGCTTGCAATACTTGCAACAGCACCCTGCCTAATATGTACCTGAACGTGCAGCAGCCGTGACTGAACTGCAAAATGTAAATTTTGCCATTCAGAGGCACTAAACACATTCAGTGTTATCAGTTTGGCAGGAAAAAAGAAGAATTCCTAAGGAAATTGCACTGGCCAATTAATACTTTACAGTGATGATTTTTGAAATCAAAGGTTTTTAGCTTATGATGTCAGTAATCTTAGAGTTAACAGAGCTTGTCTGCAAGGTAGATAGTGAGCATAACTTTTGATAAGTCACTTCTGGCTGTGATTTTGCTGTACTAGTCAACTGACAAAGAATTTTCATCTGGAAAGGTGGCACATGCCTCAGATCTGGAATTTCCTCATCCTTCTACCCCCTCTTTGTGCAAAGCAGCTTCAAGGCATGCCATGAAAGACATCTATTTGATAAGGCTTCTGAGTATGGCTGAGAATACCACCCAGAATGAAAAGGGATAGGATTTGCTTCCAATCTGTCAGATACCGTATAAATATTTTCACTGTATCAGACACTGGTACACGTTATAAGTTGTCTGTAAATATTAATTGCTTTATAGGCATCTAAGCTACCTACATTAAAACAAGAAAGACAAAATTCAGATATTTATGAGATTACAAAAATGCTGTTGAGCTCTATGGTGGTTATGATGTGTTGCAATGAATGCCTCACAGTATCATGGGTCAATTTAACCACTTGAAATTTAAAACTAGGATTTGGACTTACATCTGAACTTGCCTACATGGTCTCTCTTTAAGTCACAGAATCATAGAAGGTTGGGTTAGAAGGGACCTCTGCAGATCATCTAGCCCAGCCCCCCTGCCAGAGCAGGATCCCCTACAGTAGGTCACACAGGAACGTGTCCAGGCGGGTTTGGAATGTCTCCAGAGAAGGAGACTCCACAACCTCCCTGGGCAGCCTGTACCAGTGCTCTGGCACCCTCACAGTGAAAAAGTTTTTTCTAATGTTTTTGTGGAACCT